ATGATGAAGTTGATGAAGACCTACCAGAGAACCAAGGTGATGGAAACACAGATGTAATGTGAAGAAATGCAGAATGTTTCTATGGTTAGGATGTCATTGACATGTTTCTCATGCTGTGTGTCCAGAGTTGTGTGTGAACGCATCAGAGTATGATGTGATGACTGAAGAAGATGAATCTGAATGTGGCAGACCAATGAATGGTACAGGTAATAAGCTAATTAGATGAGATGTAACAATTCACTCAACTCACGATTCGATTCGATTCATGATTTTGATTTCACGATTCGATTCACGTTTTTTTTTTACAAAATGAGATTTAAGACAAATTATAAATTAAATATGTCCTTTGATTATTGCTTGGACAAAATGCTGCACGTTTCTTTGTGAAATTGAAATATAACACTATAATAATATACTAATATAGCACTTGCATATTATTGCTCTTTTGTTGGTTTTGATTGCTTCTATTGTCCTCATTTGTAAGTCGCTTTGGATAAAAGCATCTGCTAAATAACAAAATTTAAATATAATGTAAATGTAAATAACAAAAATAAATAGAAATTTTAAAACAAATCAAATAAATAAGTAACACAAATACAATAAATCTCTTCATATAAACAAAATAAGGCTTTGTCTGTGCTCTTTCCTTTTAAAATTAGAGGCAACCACTGCATTTTAATCTCAATCCAAAACAAAGATGCTGCATACATGCAACATGAGCAGTTTTTAATCTAAATTAGATTATATAATTTCGAAATTTTAAGCAAAAACAGAATGGTTTGACTTCAGTTTTGTGTGACTATACATAAAAAATATCGGCATGAAACAGAAACAGCAGACGAGCTGAATGAGACAGATTCACTCTGTGCCAGCAGGTGGCGCTTAAAGCGTTTCCTTGGTTTCTGCTGTAAACAAATCAGCTGCTGCACTTATGAACTTTAATATGCATTATACAGAGGCAAGATGAAAATAAAAAATACCATCTAAACTTTTCTAAAGACAGTAAGTTCCCCTCAGTCATACATTTATATAAACTCCTACCCCTAATTGAATCGCGATTTGTTTAGCATCTCAACCGATTTGAATCGATTTTCCACCGGCTCGTGGTTAATCGTTACATCCCTTTAGACTTTCAAGTAATTCTGAACACAACAGACTCAGAAACATGTGGCTCATTTCTTGGAGGAACAAAAAAAAAAAAAGCTCAGCTTTTGATTTGGTTAATCACAATGTACTCATCTCTCATTTAAAAAATTGTATTGGCCTGCGAGGCACTACTTTAGAATTGTTCCGGTCCTTTTTAACAAACCGAAAGATCTCTGTATGTATTGGACACAACACTTCCTCCACTGCCCTCTGTCTTGCGGTGTTCCTCAGGGCTCCATTTTGGCTCCGACTCTTTTTATGTTATATCTTTACCTTTGGGAGACTCAGAAACATGTGGCTCATTTCTTGGAGGAACAAAAAAAAAAAAAGCTCAGCTTTTGATTTGGTTAATCACAATGTACTCATCTCTCATTTAAAAAATTGTATTGGCCTGCGAGGCACTACTTTAGAATTGTTCAGGTCCTTTTTAACAAACCGAAAGATCTCTGTATGTATTGGACACAACACTTCCTCCACTGCCCTCTGTCTTGCGGTGTTCCTCAGGGCTCCATTCTGGCTCCGACTCTTTTTATGTTATATCTTTACCTTTGGGTTTGATTTTTAAGAAATATGGAATTTCTTTCCATTTATATGCTGATGATCTTCAGTTGTATCTTTCTTTTAAACCTCATGGAGATAATGCACTAGGAGATCTGTATGTATGTATCCAGGAACTAAAAATATGGCTTACAAAAAAATTTCTGATGTTAAATGAAGGTAAAACAGAAGTAATTTTGTTTGGACCCAGCAATGCTTTTAATGCTAGTAATTGTAACCTTGGTCATTTGGCCCAATGGGTTACTACATGTGCAAAAAACCTAGGGTTTTGGTTTGACTCGGGCCTGACAAACAGATTAATGGTGTAAAGTCTGTTTTTTTTCATCTTCGTCGCCTAGCTAAAGTGAAATCGTTTTTATCAACAAAGAATTTTGAAAAAGTAATTTATGCATTTGTCATTTCACTACTGTAATTCACTTTATTATGGGATTAACTGCTCATCTATGGAGCATGACTCCACAGAGGATGACACTGAGCTCTCTTTTGAACCTGGTGACATCATCAGTGATGTGGAGACAATCGACAAAGCGTGGTGGAGAGGTTCCAGCAAAGATGGGCGCCAGGGTCTCTTTCCTGCCAACTATGTAGAGACCATATAACAACTTTTCCTTTAAAGATGGTTCCTCTTCCCCCTTTTCGTTTGACCAATTCTCAGGAACTAAGAACCACGAAACCTGGTCTATGCGGATGAACCATGTACTCTGAGACTAAGAGTCACAGGAAAAGGGTTGTAAGTAATGCTGATGATCTTCAGTTGTATCTTTCTTTTAAACCTCATGGAGATAATGCACTAGGAGATCTGTATGTATGTATCCAGGAACTAAAAATATGGCTTACAAAAAAATTTCTGATGTTAAATGAAGGTAAAACAGAAGTAATTTTGTTTGGACCCAGCAATGCTTTTAATGCTAGTAATTGTAACCTTGGTCATTTGGCCCAATGGGTTACTACATGTGCAAAAAACCTAGGGTTTTGGTTTGACTCGGGCCTGACAAACAGATTAATGGTGTAAAGTCTGTTTTTTTTCATCTTCGTCGCCTAGCTAAAGTGAAATCGTTTTTATCAACAAAGAATTTTGAAAAAGTAATTTATGCATTTGTCATTTCACTACTGTAATTCACTTTATTATGGGATTAACTGCTCATCTATGGAGCATGTACAATTGGTCCAAAATGCAGCAGCCAGGCTCCTGACTGGAACTCGTAAATTTCAGCACATCTCTCTTATCTTGATTTTACTGCAGTGGTTGCCTGTAAAATTGAGAGCTGAATTTAAAATATTAAATTTGGTTTTTAAATCGCTCAATAATCTTGCACCGGTTTATCTCACTGAGTTGTTGCTTTCACAAAACCAGTGAGATTGCTTAGGTCAGAGCATTTAAAAATGCTATCCATGCCTAGGTCCAGACTGAAACACCGTGGTGATCGAGCTTTTGCTGTTGCCGGGCCAACTCTTTGGAACAATCTGAAAATCTGAATTTGTGTGTGATATTCTGTGAGATCTGTCAACTCCGACTGCCCAAAATCTGCAGCCTGGATCTGACTCGCAGAAATTGGTGTCCAATCATCTAGACTGCAGATCTGGGCAAAAGTTGTGCAGTGTATTCCAGCCTTAAGTTATCTAGTTTTGTTGTCTCGTGTGATGAATACATATAAATGATGAACACCTTGCTTTGTTTTTTAAGTAGAGGAGGTTGATATATCTGAGCACAGCGCTCCTGAGCGCTACTGTTACACGGTTAATCGTGAGGAGGAAGATGATGAAATCCAAATGGAGATGGTGACCGAGAATGGCGAAGTACATAGTACACTAGACATCATGACTCATCATTAATATTAGTGTGATAAAAGAAGATAAAAGTACTAAAACATGTTGTTCCTTCTTATTCTAGTCATCACCAGAAAGACTGCTGCGTGTGAGAGCATTATATGACTACCAAGCAGGTTAGTGTTGCTTGCTTCTACAGCAGTTATTGTTTATTAAGATATCATTGAAAACATCTCTGTACTCCACAGAGGATGACACTGAGCTCTCTTTTGAACCTGGTGACATCATCAGTGATGTGGAGACAATCGACAAAGCGTGGTGGAGAGGTTCCAGCAAAGATGGGCGCCAGGGTCTCTTTCCTGCCAACTATGTAGAGACCATATAACAACTTTTCCTTTAAAGATGGTTCCTCTTCCCCCTTTTCGTTTGACCAATTCTCAGGAACTAAGAACCACGAAACCTGGTCTATGCGGATGAACCATGTACTCTGAGACTAAGAGTCACAGGAAAAGGGTTGTAAGTAGTGTTCACAGGCACAACTTAGCCAATGATTCCTTTTGTTCCAAAACAAGCAGCCAAAGTCGACAATTGAGACTTTAGTGATCATCAACTGCAAGACTGAAGAGGATCTCAGAAACTGAAATACTTAAGTACAATTTCTGTTACGACTATACACGAATTATGATCATTTTATTTACACATTACATCATTTATTACTTACATACCGTTGTTACAGTTATCATTACCAAATGATACCAAAGGTGGTGGAGAGGTGTCTACTGGAGAACAGGTTTCAGTTGAAGCCTTGTTACACATAAATCCAATTTACGCAGTCACGTCAATTGGTCCTGAGTATAGAGACTTTTTTCAGAACTTGTACTGTGTTATAGTACCAATAAAATAGAAATAGTTGTAACATGCCAGTTTTTATAAAAGCAGAGACATGTTTACAGCATTCTGAATGGCACCTGTCATGCCTGCATACAGTAGGTGTGCAGATGCTACAAAAGTTGTCATTGCCAAGACCAAATGATCTGATCATAGCAGACCCCTAAGAAATTGGGATTCATCAACAGAAAACAGCCTAGCGGAGCGAATAAAACATACAGTGCCTTGCGAAAGTATTCATACCCCTTCATTTTTTTCATGTTTTGTTATGTTGATGCCTTATGTTGAACTGCTTTAAATTACTTTTTTCCACATCAATCTACACTCCATACACCATAACGGTAAATCAAAAACAGGTTTTTAACATCTTTGCAAATTTACTAAAAATAAAAAACTTAAATGATTCAATTGAATAAGTATTCATACCCTTATCTGGGACAATTGAAATTTAGCTCAGGAGCATTCATATTGCTTGTAGATGTTACTACACTTAGTAGTTAACCCTGTGGCAAATTCAATTGAATGGATATGATTTGGAAAGGCACACGCGTCTTAGTAAAAGGTCTAACAGCTGATAATGCATATCAGAGCAAAAACCAAGCCCTGAGGTCAAAAGACCTGCCTGTCGAGCTCTGAGTCACCTCCACCCAGTCTGCCTGTCTCCAGACCCCCTCCAACCCAGTCATCACCACCTAACCAGCCACCTCCTCAAGCCCCAGTTCACGATTCAGCTTCCCCTGCGTCTCCAAAGCTGCTGGACAGTCATGATAAATCTGAGTTTAGCAACTATGACAGCAGTGAAGAGCTCGCTGTCGCAACAGAACGTCCTCCAGCTTCACTCTCTGATAACACACGGCACACTATGGGTAAGTTAACTTAGGTTTCTGTGACAACAGTAAAAGGTCTAAGGGGTCTTATAGATTTATGATTTATTCTCTTAACAATTTCTTCTCTCCAGAGGTTGTAACCAGCTCTCGAATCCTTTGTGAACTAAAGCCAGAAGTGGACTTCACTGCCAAGTCTGTGCTTGTCGAAGAAGAAGAAGAAGAGGTAGAGGAACCAGAGGAACCTTCAGCCATGTCAGCTCCACCTTCAGATACAAAGATCACTATAAACTATGAAGAAGCAGTGAAGACTGTCATCAGCCCCCTGATTGAGGTTGAGGAGCAAGAGGAACCAGAGTCAGAGTCTGAAGATGAACCAGAAGAGCAGCCTGCTGCAGAATCTGAGGAATTACAGCCAAATGTGGATCATGTAGCATCTGAGGAGCCCAGAAATGTGGTAGCGATCTCAGATGATGAAGTTGATGAAGACCTACCAGAGAACCAAGGTGATGGAAACACAGATGTAATGTGAAGAAATGCAGAATGTTTCTATGGTTAGGATGTCATTGACATGTTTCTCATGCTGTGTGTCCAGAGTTGTGTGTGAACGCATCAGAGTATGATGTGATGACTGAAGAAGATGAATCTGAATGTGGCAGACCAATGAATGGTACAGGTAATAAGCTAATTAGATGAGATGTAACAATTCACTCAACTCACGATTCGATTCGATTCATGATTTTGATTTCACGATTCGATTCACGTTTTTTTTTTACAAAATGAGATTTAAGACAAATTATAAATTAAATATGTCCTTTGATTATTGCTTGGACAAAATGCTGCACGTTTCTTTGTGAAATTGAAATATAACACTATAATAATATACTAATATAGCACTTGCATATTATTGCTCTTTTGTTGGTTTTGATTGCTTCTATTGTCCTCATTTGTAAGTCGCTTTGGATAAAAGCATCTGCTAAATAACAAAATTTAAATATAATGTAAATGTAAATAACAAAACTAAATAGAAATTTTAAAACAAATCAAATAAATAAGTAACACAAATAAAATAAATCTCTTCATATAAACAAAATAAGGCTTTGTCTGTGCTCTTTCCTTTTAAAATTAGAGGCAACCACTGCATTTTAATCATGATCCAAAACAAAGATGCTGCATACATGCAACATGAGCAGTTTTTAATCTAAATTAGATTATATAATTTCGAAATTTTAAGCAAAAACAGAATGGTTTGACTTCAGTTTTGTGTGACTATACATAAAAAATATCGGCATGAAACAGAAACAGCAGACGAGCTGAATGAGACAGATTCACTCTGTGCCAGCAGGTGGCGCTTAAAGCGTTTCCTTGGTTTCTGCTGTAAACAAATCAGCTGCTGCACTTATGAACTTTAATATGCATTATACAGAGGCAAGATGAAAATAAAAAATACCATCTAAACTTTTCTAAAGACAGTAAGTTCCCCTCAGTCATACATTTATATAAACTCCTACCCCTAATTGAATCGCGATTTGTTTAGCATCTCAACCGATTTGAATCGATTTTCCACCGGCTCGTGGTTAATCGTTACATCCCTTTAGACTTTCAAGTAATTCTGAACACAACAGACTCAGAAACATGTGGCTCATTTCTTGGAGGAACAAAAAAAAAAAAAGCTCAGCTTTTGATTTGGTTAATCACAATGTACTCATCTCTCATTTAAAAAATTGTATTGGCCTGCGAGGCACTACTTTAGAATTGTTCCGGTCCTTTTTAACAAACCGAAAGATCTCTGTATGTATTGGACACAACACTTCCTCCACTGCCCTCTGTCTTGCGGTGTTCCTCAGGGCTCCATTCTGGCTCCGACTCTTTTTATGTTATATCTTTACCTTTGGGTTTGATTTTTAAGAAATATGGAATTTCTTTCCATTTATATGCTGATGATCTTCAGTTGTATCTTTCTTTTAAACCTCATGGAGATAATGCACTAGGAGATCTGTATGTATGTATCCAGGAACTAAAAATATGGCTTACAAAAAAATTTCTGATGTTAAATGAAGGTAAAACAGAAGTAATTTTGTTTGGACCCAGCAATGCTTTTAATGCTAGTAATTGTAACCTTGGTCATTTGGCCCAATGGGTTACTACATGTGCAAAAAACCTAGGGTTTTGGTTTGACTCGGGCCTGACAAACAGATTAATGGTGTAAAGTCTGTTTTTTTTCATCTTCGTCGCCTAGCTAAAGTGAAATCGTTTTTATCAACAAAGAATTTTGAAAAAGTAATTTATGCATTTGTCATTTCACTACTGTAATTCACTTTATTATGGGATTAACTGCTCATCTATGGAGCATGTACAATTGGTCCAAAATGCAGCAGCCAGGCTCCTGACTGGAACTCGTAAATTTCAGCACATCTCTCTTATCTTGATTTTACTGCAGTGGTTGCCTGTAAAATTGAGAGCTGAATTTAAAATATTAAATTTGGTTTTTAAATCGCTCAATAATCTTGCACCGGTTTATCTCACTGAGTTGTTGCTTTCACAAAACCAGTGAGATTGCTTAGGTCAGAGCATTTAAAAATGCTATCCATGCCTAGGTCCAGACTGAAACACCGTGGTGATCGAGCTTTTGCTGTTGCCGGGCCAACTCTTTGGAACAATCTGAAAATCTGAATTTGTGTGTGATATTCTGTGAGATCTGTCAACTCCGACTGCCCAAAATCTGCAGCCTGGATCTGACTCGCAGAAATTGGTGTCCAATCATCTAGACTGCAGATCTGGGCAAAAGTTGTGCAGTGTATTCCAGCCTTAAGTTATCTAGTTTTGTTGTCTCGTGTGATGAATACATATAAATGATGAACACCTTGCTTTGTTTTTTAAGTAGAGGAGGTTGATATATCTGAGCACAGCGCTCCTGAGCGCTACTGTTACACGGTTAATCGTGAGGAGGAAGATGATGAAATCCAAATGGAGATGGTGACCGAGAATGGCGAAGTACATAGTACACTAGACATCATGACTCATCATTAATATTATTGTGATAAAAGAAGATAAAAGTACTAAAACATGTTGTTCCTTCTTATTCTAGTCATCACCAGAAAGACTGCTGCGTGTGAGAGCATTATATGACTACCAAGCAGGTTAGTGTTGCTTGCTTCTACAGCAGTTATTGTTTATTAAGATATCATTGAAAACATCTCTGTACTCCACAGAGGATGACACTGAGCTCTCTTTTGAACCTGGTGACATCATCAGTGATGTGGAGACAATCGACAAAGCGTGGTGGAGAGGTTCCAGCAAAGATGGGCGCCAGGGTCTCTTTCCTGCCAACTATGTAGAGACCATATAACAACTTTTCCTTTAAAGATGGTTCCTCTTCCCCCTTTTCGTTTGACCAATTCTCAGGAACTAAGAACCACGAAACCTGGTCTATGCGGATGAACCATGTACTCTGAGACTAAGAGTCACAGGAAAAGGGTTGTAAGTAGTGTTCACAGGCACAACTTAGCCAATGATTCCTTTTGTTCCAAAACAAGCAGCCAAAGTCGACAATTGAGACTTTAGTGATCATCAACTGCAAGACTGAAGAGGATCTCAGAAACTGAAATACTTAAGTACAATTTCTGTTACGACTATACACGAATTATGATCATTTTATTTACACATTACATCATTTATTACTTACATACCGTTGTTACAGTTATCATTACCAAATGATACCAAAGGTGGTGGAGAGGTGTCTACTGGAGAACAGGTTTCAGTTGAAGCCTTGTTACACATAAATCCAATTTACGCAGTCACGTCAATTGGTCCTGAGTATAGAGACTTTTTTCAGAACTTGTACTGTGTTATAGTACCAATAAAATAGAAATAGTTGTAACATGCCAGTTTTTATAAAAGCAGAGACATGTTTACAGAATTCTGAATGGCACCTGTCATGCCTGCATACAGTAGGTGTGCAGATGCTACAAAAGTTGTCATTACCAAGACCAAATGATCTGATCATAGCAGACCCCTAAGAAATTGGGATTCATCAACAGAAAACAGCCTAGCGGAGGGAATAAAACATACAGTGCCTTGCGAAAGTATTCATACCCCTTCATTTTTTTCATGTTTTGTTATGTTGATGCCTTATGTTGAACTGCTTTAAATTACTTTTTTCCACATCAATCTACACTCCATACACCATAACGGTAAATCAAAAACAGGTTTTTAACATCTTTGCAAATTTACTAAAAATAAAAAACTTAAATGATTCAATTGAATAAGTATTCATACCCTTATCTGGGACAATTGAAATTTAGCTCAGGAGCATTCATATTGCTTGTAGATGTTACTACACTTAGTAGTTAACCCTGTGGCAAATTCAATTGAATGGATATGATTTGGAAAGGCACACGCGTCTTAGTAAAAGGTCTAACAGCTGATAATGCATATCAGAGCAAAAACCAAGCCCTGAGGTCAAAAGCCCTGCCTGTCGAGCTCAGAAACAGGTTTGTGTCAAGCCACACATCTGGGGAAGAGTTCAGAAAAATTCTGCTCCATTGAAGGGTCACAGAAGCATGTAGTCTCCGTTACTCTTAATGGAAAAAGTTTGAAACAACCAGGACTCTTCCTAGAGCTGGCCTCCTGGCCAAACTGAGCAATTGATGGAGAAGGGCTTTGGTTAGAGTGGTGACCAAGAAGCTGATGGTCACTCTAGTTGAGCTCCATGATCATATGTGGAGATAGGAGAAACCTACAGAAGGACAAACATCACTGCAACACTCCACCGATCTAGGCTTTATGGCGGTGTGGCCAAACTCAATCCTCTCCTCAGTGAAGACACATGAAAACACTTGGAATTTGCAAAAAAAGCAACTAAAGGACCCTCAGAATCTGAGAAACAAGATTCTCTGGTCTTATGAACCTCAATTTCAAGCATCATGTTTGAAGGAAACCAGCTCTGCTCATCACCTGCAGAGTATCATCCCAAAAGTAAAGTGTGGTTGTAGCAGCCTCATGCTGTGGGGCTGTTTTTCAGCGGCTGGGACTGAGGGACTCGTCAGGGTAGAAGAAAAGCTCAATGCACCAAAATATTGAGATAGCCTTAATGAAAACCCAGTCCAGAGCATTCAGAACCTCAGACTGGGCAGAAGGTTCACCTTACAACAGGACAATGACCCTAAGCACAGCAAGAGTGGCTTGCATAAGTATGAATACTTATGCAATGTACTTATTTTAGTTTTTTTTGTTGTGACAATTCTGTATTTGCTTTGTCAATATGGTGTATGGGGTGTAGATTGATGTGGAAAAAAGGTAATTTAAAGCCGTTTAACATAAGGCAGCAACATAAAACGTGAAAAAAAAGGGGTATGGATACTTTCGCAGGGCACTGTATCTAGTGGGTCCTGCTTTTCCAACCTTTGAAAAAGGTGCTTCTCTTATACTTGTTTTGGTTTTTTAAAGCCCTTTCTATTATGGGAAGCCAATGCTAATGGTTAAAAATGTTATATTACAAGACTTTAAGACTGACCTTGGCAGCCCTTACATGTTTTTAAATGCTCTGAACCTTTTTAAAGCCGTTTAACATAAGGCAGCAACATAAAACGTGAAAAAAAAAGGGGTACGGATACTTTCGCAGGGCACTGTATCTAGTGGGTCCTGCTTTTCCAACCTTTGAAAAAGGTGCTTCTCTTATACTTGTTTTGGTTTTTTAAAGCCCTTTCTATTATGGGAAGCCAATGCTAATGGTTAAAAATGTTGTGTTATATTACAAGACTTTAAGACTGACCTTGGCAGCCCTTACATGTTTTTAAATGCTCTGAACCTTACATCAAAATTAAATTCTTCCATCTTTCTACTGTTTAGCTGTCCAAGGCTGAATTTTAAAAAAAAAAAAAAAAAAAAAATTTTTAATACAGATCCTTCTGAAATCATTCAAATATGCTGACTTGGTGTTCAAGAAATATTTCTTATCGATGCTGAAAACAGTTGTGCTGCTTAATATTTTTGTGGAAACCGATTCATTTTTTTTTATGGCTCTTTGATTAAAGTCACTTTCAATCATTATGTGTCCTTGCCGAATAAAAGTATTAATTTTCGTCAAAAAAAAAAAAAACCTTACTGACCCTAAACTTTTTAATGGTAGTGTACAGTAAGACTGTTCACTGTTGTGTAAATGCTTTCAAATAAAAAAAAAGCTCAAGAAATATTTCTTATCAATGTTGAAAACAGTTGTGCTGCTTAATATTTTTGTGGAAACCGATTCTTTTTTTTTTTATGGCTCTTTGATTAAAGTCACTTTCAATCATTATGTGTCCTTGCCGAATAAAAGTATTAATTTTCGTCAAAAAAAAAACCTTACTGACCCTAAACTTTTTAATGGTAGTGTACAGTAAGACTGTTCACTGTTGTGTAAATGCTTTCAAATAAACATTTTTTCTGTAATTTGTTTATCTCTGAGCATGAATATAGATATTGTTCCTTCTAGAGAGGGTCTGTCTAATCCATTTAACTTGTGTTACCAGATTTCAGCTAGCAATGTTCTTCTGTGTTAGTGGGGATGGAACAATAGAAGAATCACCAACACATTTAACTTACTCTATGCTCTCCGTTAGTAATTTCTTATTGTAATAAATTATGAGGTTTTAGTTTTTTCCCCACATTCTGCAATAATGCTTTTAAGTTTTTGATTTATTGTACAGCCAGTACACTGCCTTCATACTATTTTGAATATCACGATCATTAAGAAACCATATTCACTACTTGTGTATTAATGCATGAGGTCAAATTAAAGGGATTCACTTTACTGGGTCACAATGAGTTTATCTCGAACATTTAGTCATTTGACACAAGCACTGCAAGAATCAAGAGAATTACACACATACACACAAAAATGCTGTTGACTTTTAATTTAGGTAATTCTTTACAATAAATTGTTATTGTACGTACATTAATCTATTAGTTATATGTCCAAAGACATGCAGAACACCTGCTGAAATGACACTTACCTCCAGGTTAACATTCAATGTTATCTACCAGGATAGTTCGAGCTTTACTCATCTGATAAAATGTCAATATATTTTTATTTAAAACAAAAATGAATATGGTAAAATACATCTTTAATAAAAGCACAACATGAAAATGACAACTTTATAATAACAAACAGTGTTTGAATGAATTTACAGTTTTTAAATGCAAGTCAGTGGCCCTTCGAGTGAGAACTGTTCATTTTGTAGCATCATGTAGTACTAGGACAAAACTTTTATCTGCTAATTCTGAATTTAAGAGTAAAGGTTAGTCTGGCATTTCTAGACTTTCAATGGTCTGATATTTGTAATACACTATACATGTAATTATATAAAGAAAACCATGTGTCTCCATCTTAACATTGTTTACTCTCATATGAAAAATAAAATACAATACAGGTTTGGAGACCTAATATATTGTGCAGACGTGTTTTCTGAATTACAGAAATGTTAACCTGTACGTTTAATATTTTTATGGCAAGATAGACTGTAACTTCACTCCTGAGGTTTTACTGAAATCACAATAATAGTTATCCAACTAGAGTTCAATATTGTAAATATTGCTAATTTAATTGTCTTCAAGCAAATACGCACTTTATCGGAGCTGGAATATGCCATATGACACTGAAACACTCAAAAGTGCTTGACAAAACTGACCTGCAAGCCAACAAGGAAAAGGAAAATATGAATATATTGCATGTACCGCTGATAACACAATTAACTTAGAGCTGTTGTAGCTTTGCATAGTAGTGCCTTTGCAACCCTACTCCATCAGACAGGCCTTTAATGTAGTGACTCAAAACAAAGCACCCAAATCGTTCAGCTCCCAGCCATGTTTCATTGCTTGTGCTGAATCCTAATTAATGTGCATTCTGATTTTTGACTTTTCCTGACTGATAGGGGTTCACATTTGCTGAGTGAGATAAGGTATGTACAGTAATCCTGAGCTCATTACAGTCACAGGTAGTAAATGGAGTCACATTATATCCCATCGTTATAAACCTGAATACAGAGTCTTGTGACGTCTGGACCTTTGCTTATATACTGAAGCCATGCAAACAGACATTATAGCAGATATTGTAAGATGCCATTTTCCTCAGTTAGGTGTCACAAAAAGAAACATAGTACTTTTAAAAAATATGTATCAAATCATGTACTGTTAGATATGAATCACATTAATAGCATAATAAAAGCCGTTTCATTTTACATAGAGCGTGTCTCCTTAAGATCACAGGACCAGCAAAATACTGCTCACTTTAAAGCCGTAACCCTTCTATTACTAGCCACTTTAGATCAAAGATTAAATGGAGCCACAGCTGACTGCAAATAGAGCATTTCTACAACCACAAATGTCTATAAATGAAAAATGTTGCTTTTGTGTGATACCGGATCCAAAGCACAAGTTGTCAGTATATGTCCAAAAACCCATACAGCACAACATCAACAAGAGTGACAAGAGTGAGCCTTGACAAGTCAGTTATTGGTAATGTCCTTAATCACATAATCAACTATTTAATAAATGCAGAATTGAAACTGATATTATAAGACTTCTTGCAGGCGTGTGTGCTTAACGTGCAGTGGCACTTACTAATGAAGTGTTAAGATAACTTTCACTCGTTAGGTTTATTAATACTATGATCACTGAAATACACTAGCGTTCAAATGTTTGGGATCAATAAGGTTTTAAGATATTAATACTTTAATTGAGCAAGGGTGCATTAAATAGATCAAAAATGGCAGTAAAGAGAGCACCAAATCAGCATATCAGAATTATTATGTAATGATGCTGAAAATTCAGTTATGCCATTACAGGAATAAATTAAATGTTAAAATATTTTCATATTAACATTTTTTGATACATTTTTTGACATTTTTGATCAAATTAATGCAGCCTTGATGAGCATACGCGACTTTAAAGATCTAACCGACAGCAAACGTTTGAACGGTAGTGTATTTGCCAGCCTCAATGTGAGTGATGATGAATACTTTCTAAAGCACATATCTAAAACAGCGCACACAGACACAACGACTGGCCAAAAAGTACTTACAACACCAGGACAACTGCTTCAATCCAGTTTAAAATCACTTTACCAGGAGTCTGTCTCACATAAAACATCTACACTCTCCAAAATAATCAGCTTTTCATGAAGAGACCATGTGTAATGCTATGTATTAGTAGTGTATTATATAACTTATAGTACTGAATTCCCATTGCTGAGGCTCCTTTAAAAGGCAGAAGAAAAAGTTCATTTTTCATGTTGATCTTATTATGTAAAGAGAACGCAATGACAGACATTGAGCATACATGACCTCAGGTATTGCAGTTTTTTCCAGGGGGACACAGGAAGTTGTGATGGCTCTGACAGTAATCGGAGGAAGTGTGACCGCTACACCTGACTCTGCAGCCAGTTCCTGGGGTCTAGCTTAGCTCTCAGGTTCCTCAAGCTGCGGCGTGCGCCAGACGGTCTAGAGAAGCCCAGGTCTGACTCTTGACTGTTGCTTCCCTCGCTGGAGCTGCTGCTGGAAGTGGAACTGGAGCAGGACAGAGCAGTCTGAGCGGGGCGAGGAGACACAGAGCAGGCGGTGGGCGGCTGGCAGTTGCACCGGAAGCCACTGTAGCCCCGACCGCGCAGAGTGGAGAGCTTGGCGTCCAGGGAGAGGGTACGGGGGCGGAAGCGACCCGAGGAGGAAGTGGCGTCAGGGGACCATGCCTGGCGGAAACAGGGGCTGACGCTGGCGGGACTGTCGCTGTCTGAGGTCAGGCTGGCTTTGGAGGAGAGAAGGCCGGGTGTGCGGTGGCAGCGTGGGCTGCGGGGCTGGCGGCTGTGCAGGCGAGGACTGGGCGAGTGGGGCGGCAGGTGCTGATGGGTGTGAGGGGATCTCGGGGGATCTTCATCAAACAAGGCCATCCAGTGTGGCGGAGATCCGAGCTGGGCCCTTAGCTCAAACTCTTCAATACGATGGGCCAGGATGTCAGTGACCGTTCCGATGTCATCAGACGTGTCAATAACTGTGGCGGAAAAGAAACGGTAGCCATAATGAAAAACTGACTATGTTAATTTTACCTGACAGCTGATTTTCAGTTGCAAGCTTCATTTTTATAGTCTTTTGATAAACCATCCCTCAATTTCCAACATGGTTTATATGATTGCTTTTAGAGAGTGGGATATGTTTTGTAACTTGTGACCACTGAGCTTCTTCTCATAATAAAGGACTGGCAAGCTAATTGTTGGAATCTGATGAATTTTCTGAAAGCATATTTTATTATAATTAAAATAAAATTAGTAAAATAAAGTTATTAAAATTAAAACCATGAAAAACTGTTACAATAAAATTAGTACAACTGAAACAATTAATAACTAAATTATTAACTGCACCTGTCATTGTAATTAATATGTAAAATTTACATTAACAATTAATATGTAAAAAAAAGTAATACAATGTGTACAAAAAGTTTAAATAAAATAAAATAAAATACAGAAATAAACATGATTTAATTTAGATTAGTAAATATAAAAAGTTTTATTTTCAGACATTTATTTCATTATTATATCTTCACTTTTTAGAATAAAAAATGGTTAAAATAAGTAAAAAATAAAATAAAAACAATAAAAAATAATTTTGTTAAAATAAAACTAATAAATTAAAACAATGAATATAAATTAATTTACTCTGTTGTTACCTGGTATTTATTTTTTACAAATTTTATTTGATAATTTTATATATATATATATGTGACTAACAACTTTTATGTGATATAAATTTCAAATATAGTTCTAACCTTAATATAAATTAAATTAATAATCCGCTAAATTATTATTATTGTTTTTGTTGTTAAGTATTAGATGAAACCATAATAGATTGCTGTATATTCATGGTTTTAATTTATACTTCTTTTAAATTGTTTTTTATTTAATTTTATTTTCTTAAAAAAAAAAAATATATATATATATATATATATATATATATTTTTTTTTTTTAAGAAAATAAAATTAAATAAAAAACAATTTAAAAGAAGTATAAATTAAAACCATGAATATACAGCAATCTATTATGGTTTCATCTAATACTTAACAACAAAAACAATAATAATAATTTAGCGGATTATTAATTTAATTTATATTAAGGTTAGAACTATATTTGAAATTTATATCACATAAAAGTTGTTAGTCACATGGGCGACAAAAACGGTTGGGATCACGTGGGCCAGTAGAGGGTGGGGTCAGGTAACTTCTCATCAGAGTTACTTCACCTGTCATTGTAATAGGAGGAGAGCAGAGCTCGGATCTCAGCAGAGACAGCGTTATCCTGCAGCAAAAGCCCCTCTCCTGATGCAGGGGCCACTGAGGAGGGGGAAGCCAGCAAAACACACGAGGGGCCAACAAATGCAGGGTTGTGGGGAGGGCAAGGGAATGAGTGTTTATATATCAACCAAATAATGATACAGTGGTTGGGGAATGTATGGGATGGATGTTTGGATTACAAATGTAAGGCATGTAACCAGGAAAATACCAGAGTGTATGAAAAATCAATAGGAACAAAGTGAATGAAGAGAGGAAAAAACAGACAGGAAAACAACAGTGAAGGGACAGACAAAACCACAGAGAAAATAAGACGGAAAGAGAAAGAAAAGACTGTCAGTTTGTCAGAAACAGCCGACTTTCCATTCTATAATAAATTTTAGCAAAAATTTAAATTCAGTGAAAAATAAAAGTATGCTAATTTGAAACAAAAACATAGGTATGTGGACCACTCACATATTTATGTATACTTAAAAACAACGGCGACAGCACTGAGTCTAGCACTCTCTATTCTAATTCTATTCTTTAAAAAAAAAAACTTGCACTCTATTCTTTTACTAACACTAGCTTCTCTATTGTTTTTGTATAATCGATTTGTTTTCTTTTTATTTATTATATAATAAAAAAAAAACTTGCTAAGTGTACTGCGTTAAGCTAACTGAGACTTGTCATAGCACTTGCGTATCATTGCTCTCTTGTTGATTTTGATTGCTTCCATTGTCCTCATTTGTAAGTCGCTTTGGATAAAAGTGTCTGCTACATGACTAAATGTAAATGTAAATGAGTCTATTGTCTATTTGTTCTAACAATGTAAAATAAATTAAACTCAAATTTAATGTCATTTATTTATGTGTTGTGGAGCCATGTAATAAGCAGAATAATGTACAGACTGACAGAGTTCCTTTCAGAATGAAGACTTGTTGGATACACATTTTACAATTCATATTATTATAACATCTAAAGGATATAGTGTAAAATGTTAGTTTTTCACTTTCAAATTTTTCTTTTAAAACATTTTGAGCTACACAGTTATGCATTAAATTCTTGTTTGAATTCACAGTCATTGTATATAATAGCAATGCCTGCAGCCAAAGCTTTTGCACATACTCAGATGGTTTTATAATAAATTTTAGCAAAAATTTAAATTCAGTGAAAAATAAAAGTATGCTAATTTGAAACAAAAACATAGGTATGTGGACCACTCACATATTTATGTATACTTAAAAACAACGGCGACAGCACTGAGTCTAGCACCCTCTATTCTAATTCTATTCTTTAAAAAAAAAACTTGCCCCTTTTAGACTTGCACTCTATTCTTTTACTAACACTAGCTTCTCTATTGTTTTTGTATAATCGATTTGTTTTCTTTTTATTTATTATATAATAATAAAAAAAAAACTTGCTAAGTGTACTGCGTTAAGCTAACTGAGACTTGTCATAGCACTTGCATATCATTGCTCTCTTGTTGATTTTGATTGCTTCCATTGTCCTCATTTGTAAGTCGCTTTGGATAAAAGTGTCTGCTACATGACTAAATGTAAATGTAAATGAGTCTATTGTCTATTTGTTCTAACAATGTAAAATAAATTAAACTCAAATTTAATGTCATTTATTTATGTGTTGTGGAGCCACGTAATAAGCAGAATAATGTACAGACTGACAGAGTTCCTTTCAGAATGAAGACTTGTTGGATACACATTTTACAATTCATATTATTATAACATCTAAAGGATATAGTGTCAAATGTTAGTTTTTCACTTTCAAATTTTTCTTTTAAAACATTTTGAGCTACACAGTTATGCATTAAATTCTTGTTTGAATTCACAGTCATTGTATTTAATAGCAATGCCTGCAGCCAAAGCTTTTGCACATATTTTGCAGAATTAAATGGTAATCTCAGTTCTAACCAGTAGGTGGCAGCAGAGCACAAGTAAAGTAAGTGTAGTGCAAAGCAGTCACCTGAGAGCTGAGGAATGTGCAGACTCACAGTGCAGCTCTCAGATGTTAAAACAAGCTCTTTGTGCTCATGACATGCAGCTCTCTAGGGGCACTGAAAGATCCAGACCCAGTGCATGGCAAACAAAGCATCTTTTCATAACTACTGACACAATGAGAAACGTTCCGACAAAAAAAAAAAAAATCTCTTTCTAAAAAGAGACAATCTATTTGAAAGAGTGCTTTCAAAGAAAAATATCTCATGATATCTCCAAAAGCAGAACATGACCCTGATATCATGTGCATAAATGAGCACGCTTCAAATTTCCATAATAGGACAGAACTTACTTTGTTAATCCCAATAGTTAAGACAGGCTCCACGTTGGCCTCCATGTCCTCTTTTTGATGATAACAGAAGAGATTCGTTCCTTTTAAAACACCGTAGACATTTGTCCATCCTTGTGGCTCACCTCCAAGCTTGAGAGAAAGGAAGGAGAACATTAGCCAAAGAAAATGATATTGAAGCGAGTGAGTGCATGTGTTTGCAACATACCTTTACCCTCAGACAGCCACTCATCATCTGTTGTGTCATACAGTGAGGTTGAGCAGCCAGACGACAACATACACCGCCATAGAGAGGCAGCCAGTACGAACACTCCTCTACAGAGAGACAAAGAGACAGTAACTACTGAGAGAAAGATAAAAAGAATGCTTGACTTACAAAGTTAGAAACTGTATTTTAAAACCCAAGTAAACAAGCTACTCAAATGACATCATGTTTTGCACCCTATATTTTCAGTACATATTTTACGACAAAGTAAACTATCATCTGCGAGAGCAAGCAGCCCACACTCAGGCCGTAAGAATGTCTGCAGTAACTCTTCACACATAAAGATGGCTATAAGCGCCTCTTATTGGCCCTTCACACACCATGACCCTAACACAATAAATCTGACAGACGTCGACAACACACACACTGCGGGCCTGTCTGTAATTGATTACCTGCAACGTGAAGAAAACTAGCATGTCATAAAACTAATGTGCTTTAAATAAAATCCCAGAAGGCATTTGTTGACAGAACTTGGATGTTACAAACTGTTTATCAGACAAAGCATCTCACTTTGTTACTTTAACTTTAGTATCAAATTATTATATCAAATGACCTATTTTTGCACAGTACTTTGACATGTTTTCTACATAAAGATGTTCCTGGTTACAAAAAGTTGAGTTTTAAAAAAAGGTTTGGCAGCTTACCATTTCCTGTGATGGTGAGGTCATGTGTGCGGAAGCTATCCTGGACGTGAGAGACATTGAGGGTTGTGTGAGCCAAAAGATGATATTTGGGGCCCCTATAAACACATAAAACCCAATGAGAGAAAGCAATATGCAGTTGATGGTAACCATTGACTTCCATAGTAGGAAAAAATATATATTAAAAAAATACCGACATTTTTCAAATGATCTTCTTTTGTGTTCAACAGAAGAAAGAAACTCATACAGGTTTGGAACAAGTGGAGTAAATTATGACAGAATGTTCAATCTGGAAGTGAACTAATCCTTTATTGGCTGCTGAAAATTTTGCTTTGCCATCACAGAAATATATTACATTTGAAAATAGCAAGCAGTTATTTTAAATTGTAATATAATTTCAAAATATTTCTGGATTTTTGATCCAATAAATGCAGTCCTGGTGAGAATAAGAGACTTTTAAAAGCATTTTAAAAAATCTTACCGACCCCAGACTTTTAAACAGTATTATATACTGCGTAATGTATTTTTATATCATTGAACATACGTTTATCACTGGTCCGCAGTTCACAGCAATCCTTTTGGCATTTTTGATTCACATAGCAGCAGTGTGTTTATGTGTGTGTTTCTACACACTTACGGTGCAGAGGGCACAGGCAGCAGGATTGTCGCTCCTCCTCCATTGCTAGTGGGGCTGCAGGCTCCGGGCTCCAAGGCCGCCCTCATTTTCTTTCCCGCTGACCTTCCCAGAGATGAGCTCAGCTTGCTGGCCAGCTTCCGCGGTGTGCTGCCTGCTGAGTAGTCCTCCTCTGAACAACAGCTATACAGCTCCACCCGCAGCTGGAACCCTGGACAGGCCTCATTACTACACACAGGAAACACAGCATGAATGAAGCACTTTGTATTACTACATACATTTAATATCAATATAGTGCAAATGTTTATTTAAATACAGTATATACTACGGTTCAAAAGTTTGGAGTCAGTATGATTTTTATTTTTTTTTGAAAGAAATTAATTTGTTCAGCAAGGATGCATTACACTGATCACAAGTGACAAAGACATTTATGTTACAACAATTTTGGATTAAATCAACACTACTTTTCAAACGTTCTTTTCATCAAAGAATCAAAACTGATAAAAACAGTTTCTACAAAAATATTAAGCAGCACGACAGTTTTCACCAATGATAATAAGAAATGTTTATTGCACACTAAATCAGCATACTTGAATGATTTCTAAAGGATCATGTGACACTGAAGACTATCTATCTATCTATCTATCTATCTATAAGTGTACAATTTATATACTTTGATACAAATCAACTATAGCGGTTTTGGAAGTCACACCAAAATTAAACATTATATTTGTATGGAAATAATGTCCAGAAACAGTTAAACTGACAAAATAAACATGCACACTTACAAGACAATTGTGTTGTCAAAGCAGATATCTGTCAGCGTCCTGTCCACCATCACCATGTCTGTGTCAAAGATCTCTCCACCCAACTGAAGCAGACAGAACACAGCGCACCGATGCAGCTCTGAAGAATAAAGAAAGACATTTAACATGATTTCTACTCAGAAGTCACACCTGCTGTAATGTCTTCACCAGTGTAGCTGCATATTTGGCCCAGTGCCTATAAAATCCCCCAGAGCAGCTCTGTTCATTCAGGAAACATTTACTCCTGCACCTGTGAGTGTGTGCTGTCCTGCTTTTTCCTGCTCAGGGCAACATTAGTATCCGTGTATTTTTTCCTTGTACAAATTGTAGAACATGAATTATTGTGACACAACCAGTCGTAAACGTTTTTGCCCTAATCATTTCAATGGCTATTAAAATATATGTTGCCATTAACAGGATAAAGCACACATAAAAGCTTTCCCATGAGAGAATAACACATGCATGTGGGTTCCTGTGTCACATTCATCAACATAATGTCACCTCTATCAGCTGTTCTAAGCACCTTAGGCAAAACTACATTAGTCACTGTTGTCTGGAAAAAGGTTTCCAGCGCCAGTAATAATATTCTGTTTACCCAGAGGGCTTTGCTGGGCCTGAATGCTTCATAAATAAATGTGTTTTTTGTTATCGCGGTAATGCATATACTGAATGCGCAATGTATCCGAGCAGTATTTTCTGTGTGCGTGCTATACAAAGGGTTATTAAGATCAAATATATTCTAAACAGCCGGCACTGTTATTTAACCTGCATATCAGAATGAAGAGGAAAAACAGATGTTACCTCCTTTATTCTTAAAATACTCTGTGTCTTTCCACATTAGAGGTATCCGTAGATCTGCAAAACAGAGGAATTGGAGGTCAGAACGAAGCACAAGGTTATAACACTCACACACACTCAGTGTCACTCACAGCTGCAAGCAACCAATGCCGGCTATCACTCCATGTCAATCAAAAGAAAAATACATTCACAAGACTCATCTGGTATTTTATGCCATGCTACCAGCCAGTATAAATCACCAATATAAACCACTATCATACTGGCCCACCCACCACATTAAGACCACATTCATCACTTCAGCCCACCTGGATGAGCTCCTCTGTCAAGGTCTGTGTAACCAGGCTTGTTAATAACAACAGAACGTCATTAAATTAATAGGTAGAGGTTGTTAGGGAACAATTAATATGGTACTGACTGCAGATGATGGACAGAAAAAAAAAGGAAGCTGCATGTGGGAACATTAGATTGTATGTGCGTGGGATGAACTACAAGATAAACAGTCTTGATGCATTTAAATGGAATGATGGTGCATAAGCAGGAATCCCACACAGAATCTGCAGCTGAAGAAAGCACAGCATATTTCTGCAGAACAGGAACGCTGGTCATTGATACAATTCTATGAATGCTCCACCATGTTTGTTGGTTTATTAAACATTTGATCTAATTTCATCACTGCACAGAATAGCACAGAATATTGTGTTGATTCCATCTGTGCGGCTGCATATGAGTGTGGTTTACATTAGTGTGCATGTGATTCTGAAGTAGGAGTATAAGGTCCTCCATAACCTCTTCATAATGACATCATAATTACAGCATTTACTGAGTTTTAGCCCTCTAGGCCCCTCACTGTGGGTCTCAAACACAGATTGCCATGGGGGGTTGGCTCCTCTAAAAGATCCAGACAGTGAGGAGGGGAGGACGACTCGTAAAAGAAGCCCCTAGATGACTGAGACACAGGCGCTGATATATAAAACAGCAGGGGTGTGATTTAGTGCTCAGACACCCATATAAACAGACTGGTTTGCATGATTTATGCACAATAGACAGAATCAAAACCAGAGAATAACATGATATATAACATTCTCTGTTTATATATACACCATTCAAATGTTTGGGGTCAGCAACATATTTATTGTTTTTGAAGGATGTCTCATGCTTACCAAAGCTGCATTTATTTGACCAAAAATATAGTAAAAACAGTAATATTGTGAAATATTATTACAATTTAGGATAACTGTTTTCTATTTTAATATGGTTTTAAAATGCAATTTATTCTTGTGATGGCAAAGCTGAATTTTCCGCAGCTATTACTCCGGTCTTTATTATCACACGATCCTTCAGAAATCATTCTAATACGATGATTTGGTGCTCAAGAATCATTTCTTCTTATTATCAATGTTGAAAACAGCTGTGCTGCTTAAAATTTTTGTGGAAACTAATAAATTTTTATCAGGATTCTTTGATGGATAAAAAGTTCAGAAAAACAGCATTTATTTAAACTTCATAGAAATCTTTTGTAACAAATATTACTACCGTCCCTTTTGATTTACTATGGCACTTCTGATGTGATAGTTCTTTAAAAATCTTATAGACCCCAACATTTTGAACAGTACTGTAAATATATTTTTTTCATTACATAAATTAATCATTACTGCCTGAATTCTTTTCTGTGAACATACCTGAAATGGCTACTTTGCTTTTACATGGGGATCGGTCATCCATTGGACCTGCATCAGAAGACCTGAACACAAACAATAAGATACAAACCACAATGCGTAAAATGATTCAGTTATAATTAACGCTGAAGTGTCCTGAGCACTTCCCTTGTCTGCCAGTGGTCAGACAAATAGATAGTCCTACTCCAAATGTATAATATTGGTTGAGCCAATGTTGTTGTGTCAGGTTGTGTGCTCAAATAAATAAAGCAAATGTACTGACATCTATACATAGGTTCAAGATGACAGTACAACAAGTTCTTTAACCTAAAAAGGCCCTAAGTACAATTGTCTTTACATGGTAAACTGGAATACAAAAAATATTTTTTGAAAACATTACACACTTCACCATTTAAAGGAATAGTTCACCCAAAAATGAAAATTGATTTGTATTCCAAAGATGAACGAAGGTCTTGCGGGTTTGGAACAACATGAGGGTGAGTAATTAATGACAGAATTTTCATTTTCCAAACCCGTGAGACCCTCGTTCATCTTCAGAACACAAATTAAGATATTTTTTTATTAAATCCGAGAGCTCTCAGACCCTCCATAGACAGCAATGTAACTGCAATATTCCCAGGTCCAGAAACATAGCAAGGAGATCGGTAAAATAGTCCATGTGACATCAGGGGTTCAACCGTAATTTTACGAAGCTACGAGAATACTTTTTGTGCGCAAAGAAAACAAAAATAATAAAAATGAATAAAGTCATTATTTTTGTTTTCTTTGCGCACAAAAAGTATTCTCGTAGCTTCGTAAAATTACGGTTGAACCCCTGATGTCACATGGGCTATTTTACTGATGTCCTTGCTACGTTTCTGGACCTGGGAACATTGCAGTTGTGTTGCTTTCTGACCTCAACAGAATTTTCTGCTGTCATGTGCTTTGTGGCTGCCCGATTTGCTCTCCTTTAACCAATACACGCTATTTTTAGTAAAAGAGCATATAAGTGTTGGATTTTGTCTGTGCTGAAGTACTGGTCAACAGATGGTCAAACTGCAGTTATTAGCAGTGGATGAAACTTTATATTTGCTACCGGTACTGACAGTATAACAGACATGCCTGACCCCAAGAAACTGGCCTATTATCTAATTTACCTTTTATAAAGCACCACAAACATCAGAGACACCCAAAAATATAATTTCGTTTTACCAAACTTTGTACTAAAGTTTGAAAATCGAAAAATCGAAAGTGACCGCTGACCTGCGTGCGACCCGTTGCATGACTTGTGCCTCCTTCATGCGCTGCAGCTCTGACATGTAGGCCATGATGCGGGCGTTACAGGTGAGGAGACTCTTGGAGGCCTCCAGTGCCTGGTCCCTCTGAGAACATGCGGCCAGCAGTTTACAAGCACCCTCGCGCATCCGGATCTCATAGTCGATCTTCTTCTGGATGTCGCTGTCCTGAGGAAAAAAAAAAAAAAAAAAAAAAACAGAGGTTAAACTCAAGCTTATTCCCGAGATTAGGCCTAAACGTTTTACTCAACTAGACATGGAGGATTGATCTCATACAATAAAATTAAATTAAATAAAACCTGCCACATAAATATTTTAGGTTAACTGCCATGTCTCCAGGGCCTTGAGATGATTTATTAGGAGTCAAACAAGACAGTCTTCAATAGGAAAGACATCAGAGAAACTCAACATGAAGACAAACATTTTTTTTTCCCTCTAATAAGCACAAATGTCCAAAGTACGCTAATAACACACTGAAGAAGTGTCCCATGTGTCACCCAGAACTGCACAGAGGTCACAACCCCAGTCACATGACCGTCTGCTCCGTAATGGACTGTTCCAGCTCGCTGTGTCTCAATGCAGTGATGTATAAAATTGAACATGTGGGTTAACAAGCTGGAAGAGATGCTCTGATCTTGTGACTTCAGTTTACCCCCAAACAACCAGAGAGCAGGACGCAGAATCATTCACATATGAACAGAGAGGGGCAAACTTTTAGGATGTGGTGCTATATCTAGCATTTGAGGGGAGGCAGAGCATCTTTTAAGGGTCCCAGTTTCTCAGACTGAGGCTGGATTATGAAGCGCAGTCAGAAAATAAGAATAAGGATGAAGAAGGAAACAAAAGGAGGAGCTTGAGGAGAAAAGAAGAAAGATAGAGGTAGGTGTGACTGAGGATTTCCAATGGGCGAATAACCTACTGTCATTTAAATTGACTCTGGAATGGGATTTAGCTTTAAGTCTACATGAAAATGAATGAGGAGGAGAAAAGGGCGGAAAAGAGCAAGTCAGCACAAAGCTTAAAATAGAGAAACAGAAGTCAGTCTAAGCCATAGCTCTTGATAAGACGACACGTTAAATTTGACAAGCAAAAATTAAGCTGTGAGGGACATATGTATTTTCAGTGTTTGAAAATAATCAACATGTGCACTGATTGTACTTCCATCTATAAAGGTTCATTTTGTTTCTCAAATTAAAGATGTCTTCTAATCTCTGACGAAACAAGGTAATAAACTTGAACCACTGAAAAACAGTATGTTGGTCACTTTTTCTCAAGTGACATAATTCAGACCCTCATATGCTTTGCCCTTCTGCCATCCACTGGGGCTCCTGTTGCCATGGCAACATCCCAAAAACCCTCTTTTGTGTGCGAGTTTCAGAACCTCATTATAACCAGGCATCAATTAAGACAGCACCTCTTTTTGGTTCTCCTTGGTTTGCTGTACAGCTCACTGCAACAGATTTTATACTGTCAAAAGATGGACTAGGTGAGCTTCAAAAGCAAAAACTCCTGTGGAAGGCTGAGCACAACAAACCAGTCATGACCATCTAAGATTCTTAACAGACTCTAGACAGAGCTCAGGGAATTACGGCCACCATCCTGCTTGTACAGCCACATATAGAGCAGTTCAGAGAAGTTCACTGCCAACAGCCATCAAAACACTGTCAGTGTGAGAGAGCGCACAGCTGGAGAAAAGAGTGTGTTTGAGAAAGAGATAGATGATCTGTAATCGATATGATGGACAAGTTTGAGAAATTATAAGAATTTTTTTTTTAAACCTGCAAGGAATAGTGCATTCAGTTAATTACTTTTGCACTTGGCATGGAAATTGCTTATTGCTGGTTCTCAAGATAGTTAGGACCCTGTGTTAAACTGTGTAAAGAAGATCCAATATTAGTTTCTTAAGGTTTTATAGTACTAGCAGTAGTAGCAAAAACTGTAGTAATTCTAATATTTTGTTACACAAAAAGGTTACTGTTTTTAAGATGATGTAATTTTACGTCAAGCCAAACACAGTCAGCATAGCAAATAGTGACACACTGCATATCATGGCTCTCTGTATTCGATTTCTTAAACAATGTAATTTGCTCTTTGCTTGCAAATGAGACAAACCGACAATCCAGCTCATTCACAAATGCAAATTTTCGGTCCACTCAGGCTAGAAAGAACAATACTCATTATCATTGTTTTTCTTTTAACTATTTGTTTAACAAAACTGAAAACAGACAGTGGCAATGTAGATTTTCTGCTGATTTATGAATAAGACCAGGAAATTACTTCTCCATTTCAGATTGTCGAATGAAATTTGAGCTTGTGCCACAGTACAATTTATTGGTGTATACATGACCTATGGGCAGTTGTTTTTTAATTGACATAATAGTTTTGATTCATAAACAAGGTTTTAAAAAATGTGTTGTTGTTTGTTTCAATTTTTCCTTGTCAAGCATTACTGAAAAGATATATATGGCTTGTTTTAAGGGATGGGACTACAGTTATGATGTTATTGATTAATTGATTTTTCACAGCAGAGATGGGATGCTTACAAAGGGTATAATGTGACACTGAAGACTAAAGAAATGACTGCTCAAAATTCAGCTTTGCCATTACAGGAATAAATTACAATTTTAAATATATTTAAACTGTTATTTTAAATTATAATAACATTTCAAAATATTACTTTTTACTGTTTTTTTTAATCAAATAAAGTTCTTGGTGAGACAAGATAAGACACTTCTCTCAAAAACAGTAAAAAACTGTAGGCTAGTGCTATTAAACAGAATACAGCATTCTGAACAGTGAAAATAAACACTTAAGTTAGCGCTGCAGGAATTAGCATGTAGTATACACAACCACATGACACAAAGACCCTTCAAACACACTTGCAGCATTGCCAAGTGCCACCCTCCCTTTTGACAGGTGGCAGGGCAGAGCAGCACGCCAGTGTGTGTGTGTGTGTGTGTGTGTGTGTGTGTGTGTGTGTGTGTGTGGCAGTCCAGTCGTCAGGGTGTGTGTGAGAGGGGGGGGGGGGCTGGCG